ACAATTTGAATAATCTGACCTGCACTTGTAATTTTCAGATTCAAGAGATGACATAACTCGACATGTTATGATCATAACCTGACCATAACTTGATTTTTGAAGCCTTAAATTTATTCAGCATGCTTACTATACGATAGGTTTTCAATTACATAATCTTTTCATTCAAAATTTCAATTTAAGAAAATCAATATTAACATACTCAAATGAATTCGTGGTTTTCTAGCTAGTGATTAACGGATTTACCTTGTTCTTATGTTACCTTCCCTGTTCTTCGATTTCTCGTCTAACGACACCGGCGGACCTAAGAGAGAGAATCGGTGGCAGACAAGTTTCTGGGATTGGCGAAGGGATGAGAGAGAGAGATTCAGAGGGAATAAAGACAGATCGCGAAATAGAGACAGATCGCGTTATAGGGCCGGAGGGAAGAGAGAGTGATCGTAGGAGAGCGGCGGAGGGAAGAAATAGTTCGCCGGAGAGTGCCGGAGGGAAGAGAGAGTGATCGTGGGAGAGCGGCGGAGGGAAGAAACACTCGCCGGAGAGCACCGGAGGGAAGAGAGAGAGAGAGAGCGGAGGTCGGTGAGAGAGAGAACTGAGAGAGAGAGGTGTTAGGGCTTTTTGAGTGAAAAGGACAGTTTTGAAATTTATGTATAGATAAATCTGAATATATCTTAATTTGGCCTATTTATTAACTTATGTAAACTATTGGCCTATTAATTTTAATTCATCTTAAATCTTGGCCTATTTCCCTCTTTCTCCCTATAAACTATTCCTTCTAGCTACTTATCATTAGGGTTCGTTTAGTACGAGAATTTAAATCATAGTGATTCTAATCATAATTTTAGAACTAGAATCATGATTTACAATTTTGAGTTCAAATCACGATTCTTTCATCATGATTTAGAATCAGGAGTTTGAATTACCTTGAATCAAGAGAGAGGTGGTTTTAGAATCATAATTGGAGCTAGTTTAAATATTATATTAGATTCTGAATCATGATTCAAAATTACTGTAAACAAAAACTGATTCTGAACTAGAATATAAAATCATGAATTTGGATCTATCTACCAAACATACCCTTAATTCCAATTATTTATGCGAATGCCGTCATCTTTGACGTCATTTCACCCGTTCCTCCGCAAGATTGATTTTTCATTTACATTTCAGCCAAAAAAAATAATAAAAAATCAGTCTTGGGTGAGATTGATTTGCGAAGAATGTCCAGGACCAGCAGCCACTAATTGATCGAAGAATATATTTCCAAATTTGTTTTGACGTTATTATTAAAAATGGAACGTGAAGCAGATGATTGTGCTCCACTAGAGCAACCCCACCGACACGCACAGGTACAGATAGATGGTGAAACATCCGTTCCGAGCTCGACCCTTTTGTTGGATCATGTCGGAGAAGTCGTTCTCACCTTCAATTCAGATGGGTTGTCTTGGAAACTGCTTCGATCATCCGATAATGTGAGGTTTTTTTTTTTTTTTTTTTTTTTCTTCAATTGAATGACTTTTGTATTATCAATGTTTAGTTTTAAGTTTTCATGATCAATGTTTGGTTAATGGTGGAACAGGATGAATCAACTTGTTTGGGTATCAAACTGGTCCCAAAAGTGTCAGCAACTCACATCAACTTCTCTGATGTATATGCTGCTGAGTTTACTGATTATGGTATAATCCACGGCTCAACAAGTCTTTTGGGTCACGACTATGTATGTTCATATTCCTACTAAACCTTTTTTTTTTGGCATTTATACCCTTTGATGATTCACATGATCATTATTTGCTATGGTGCTTTGTATTCTATATTGATGCTGCAGATGTACCGGTTTACAGTTCATGGTTTTGAAAGGTCAAAGATTTTGCCTTCTGTTTGGGTTCTGGCTGTTTATACATTTGGTCATAAGGACCTGCAAACATGTCAGATGTGGGTGAATAGAATTAATTATTCTCTAAATCTTGAAGTAGGGAGGCCAAAGAATCTTATGGTATGTTTTCTAAATGGACAAAGGTTATGTGTTGTGCTTTCTCTCTGGTTTGTTTACCCTTTTGGTTGGTTGATCATACTATGAATAAAACAATAGTAAGCTTTCTTTCCAGAAATTCTTTTCCTATTTGACTAGGTTTTTGTTCATCCAAGGAGTGGGAAGGGAAATGGCTGCAAAATCTGGGAAACTGTTGCTCCTATATTCTCGTGTGCTAAGGTGAAAACAAAGGTATCATTAGCATACTTCGTGAAAGGTCTTAAATCATGATCATTGCATATTATGATGTTGTACATCTATGATTTCACGTTAATGTAGTACATTTATAACTGTTCAATTCAAGTAGAAAAACCTAATTGATTCAATTGGATAGTGGTTCTTGGCAATCTCTTACATATAGGCCATGATAGTAATTGCAGGATTTTCTGTTTTTGCTTTTGTTTTTTTTGTGTTTCAGATGATCCTGCTAATTTACAAGCTAGCATGATTGTAGGCAAACTATCTTTGTTTTCCTTATTTGTGTTTTCCAATCCCGCACTTCTGAGGAATCCAGAAATTTTCATGTTCTGGAAGTTAGGACAGTTCTTACTGAATGCCTCAATGCCCCCATGTTGTTATGCAAACGAATAGGATTACAACAGTATATGTTCAGCATTAGAAGAAGGTGGAATCAAGATTGTATTAAACTACCTTCTTTAATAATGATACTCTTTTATTCATTATTTCGCTAGGTCATTGTTACGCAGCAGGCGGGGCAGGCATTTGATGTGATGGTGTCTATCTCAAACCAGGAACTTAACTTGTATGATGGAGTCATCACCGTTGTAAGTAATAATCACCCGGGAGGTTTCTTTTTTTTTTTCCATCTCTTCGGCTCTTTATTTGTTACTTTTGCTGCTTTTCACATGTTATATTGTAATCTTACTGCAATCTTGCAGAATTAGCACAACTTTTGAGTTCTATTTCGGAGATCATTTTATTTTTTCATGGGGTTACAGTATTATGAGTTCTTCAGTTTCTAGTATTTTTTTCTCCGATATGCTAAGGGACTTTCCATCTAGTTCCTCAAGTTCCGATTGATTACTCCATCTCATCTTTAGCGTTGATTATTGCTAATTGATTTTGTTTCAGGGTGGTGATGGTTTTTTCAACGAAATTCTTAACGGGTTCCTTAAATCTAGGCATAAAGCCCCATTCCCACCAGCTCCTTCAGATTTTATTCATTCTGCTGGGTCTAATGGTAGTCTTGTTGTTAATGACCTGAACGAGATAGTTTCTGAATCTTCTCATAATGAAGACCATTATCCTCTTCTTCCAAGACCTAGACATAATGGTTTAGGTCTCTCAAATTGCGGTATGCAGTGTAACTGAGTTTCCATACTTGTCAATCTTTTGATATTGCTGTGAGAGGTTGCTAGCTAACATCTAAATGTGTGCATCTGAAATTGCAGGAAATGAAGATGCTTCGAGCAGCATAATAGGTTGGATAAAATATCATGTCTTACAAACTACCGTTATAGTAATGATCGCATGGGGCAGTATAATTTTTCTTCCTTTTTTTTTTTCTTTTTTTTTTTTTTTTTTTTTTGCATCCGGTGTTGAGTTTTTTAATTTTTGAAAGGCCTCAATCCAGTAACTGCTATTTCCTTCTACTTTTCTAAAAACTGGCAGACCAAGATTCTGAATTCGGTTCAGATTTGGAATCATTCCTGCAGGTTCAACTGATGCCATTGTGATGTGGTATTTATTTTCTTGCTTTTTTATACATGCTTTCCAATGTTAAGGCTTGAGTTTGGTTTTAATCTGAGCTTTTGCATTCAACCCAATTGAATATTGCATATTTATTGGTAGGTTTAAGGGGTGTGTGGGTGTGTGTGTGTGTGTGTGTGTGTGTTTTTATTTATTTAATTTAATTTAATTTAATTTAATTTTTTGGGATATAGTCTTGAAAATATGACAGCGATGCATGCACCATGGATCATCATGGATTAGTTGCATTTTTCACTTTAACGAACTAAATATTCTCTGGTGTCGGTAAAACGGATTAGAAATATACAAAGGGAACATGTAGAAGTTACTGAATGATCAAGATAACAAAATAATACGCCATATTTCCGCCACAGCTTGTGGAATGAAGGATTACAATAACTTGTGTTAAAAAGACAAAGGGGCATACTTGAAGGGATAGAAAACCATGTGAAGATGAGACATTGATATTGGAGCTGACTTTGAACGAGCTTAATGCATTCTGCTTGTTTTCTCTTTTGCAGTACCACTGGAGCTCGAGATCCTATAACATCTGCACTGCACATTGTCCTTGGTAAAAAGGTGCACCTGGATCTAGCTCAAGTTGTAAGGTGGAAAATAACGTCAGCATCAAAGGTTGAACCTCACGTACGCTATGCGGCTTCTTTTGCTGGGTAGTTTCTCGTTGTTTCCCGTGAAATGGTTTTAGGGGATTCTTAGTGACGTATCTAAAATGCTGGGATAGAAACTTATGGATTAGATGTTATTTCTTGACTGACTCGGGTCAAACCTTAGGCCTGTTCAAATTTTCTTTCCTACAGAACCTAGAGGCGGCTAAATGTCAGAGCTAAAGCACTGCTCTGTTGTCTGTGAGCATATTTATGTGGCATGGGCTTGCCTCCAGTTTCATGTTTACTTCTTTGTTAGATTGATGGCCGTCCATAATTTCTTGTTCACATTCTCTTGCATTAAATTCTGTGATTCGTGCTGACCCTCTAGTATTATTTTAGCATCCGTTTGTAATTTCATCATTTGGAAGATACCCTCCTACAGTATTTTATGATTGATAGTCTGTGCTTTGCTTCGTACCCAATGTAACGAAGGCTCATTGATGGATTCTTGTTTAGTCTAGGAATAGTGATTAGGCCCTTTCCAACCATCCAAGTGAAGGTTATGGGTAGTGGAAAGAATCTATGCTTTTGGATTTATGCTACTTGATTTACTGAAAATTTAATGTTGTTTTGTAATTCTTATCCCCAATATATTAGGTATGGTTTCTATGGAGATGTCATTGCAGAGAGCGAAAAGCTTCGCTGGATGGGACCCAAACGTTATGATTATGCTGGAACAAAGGTGTTCTTAAGGCACAGGTGTGTGTGACCATGACACTTTGTTCCTGCTTTATGAATTCTGACTATAGAGTACTATAACTATCTGACTGAACTTTTTATGAACTTTTCCGTAAACATGCCTACAATGTTGTAGACTATATCTCATAGGTTTATGTATATGTGCTTGCTTCCAAATTCTATGAAAAATATGTGGTGAATGGAGACTAATGTAATACGCTAATATTATCTCTGCTCTAAACTAATTTGTTCTGATTATTTTCTTTTCCCCTCCATACCCTTCAGGTCATATCAGGCTGAAATAGCATATCTTGATGTCAAAAATGAAGAAAGAAATTTAACTTCTGAAAGTAGTAGGGTTAATCATGTGTCCCCAAGTGCATCTGAAAGAGTGGTTTGCCGCGTTAATTGCAATGTCTGTACGACAAAACCAAGCCGCGGTTATAGGGGTGGTTGCCAGTCAACACCCTACTCTCATCCTGGAGAGACAAGGTGGCTGAAATCAAAAGGGCGTTATCTTAGTGTTGGTGCTGCCATTATCTCGTGCCGAAATGAAAGAGCGCCCGACGGTCTAGTGGCTGATGCACACCTTTCTGATGGTCTTTTACATCTCATATTGATAAAAGACTGTCCTCATGCTTTTTATCTCTGGTAATACATTACGGAGACTCCATTTTTTCTTTGCTTTCTATGGCCCCCTAAATATGAATATAAAATCGCCAAAAGAAGATTTTTGGCTATTCTGATGTAAAACACCTTCTGGCTGCTGCCACAGCAAATGCTTGATGGCCTTGGCAAAATTCTATATGTAAATTAAAAAAAAAAAAAAAAAATTGATTAACAAATTGTTTAATCCAGAATTCTGTTCTTTACATCTGTTGATGTCATTACAAACATGCAGGCATCTTACCCAGCTAGCAAGAAAAGGTGGAAACCCGCTGAATTTCAAGTTTGTGGAGCATCACAAGGTGTGTTTTCTCTCCACACTTCCTTTTTGTGTTTCCAACTAGATCTCTTTACCAAATTGTCCATATGTTGGCCACAGACTCCTGCGTTTACCTTCACTTCGGCGGGCAATGAGAGCGTGTGGAATTTGGACGGCGAGCTCTTTCAAGCTCACCAACTATCGACACAAGTGTTTCGAGGCCTTGTTAGTTTGTTTGCTACTGGTCCCGAAGTCTAACAGATGGCATCTCATAAGAGTTTCTCTAGAGGATGATCCTCTAGCGGTGCTTACACCGGTGTCATGTCGTTTAGACACCCAATTGGTGTAATCTTGTAACCATGAACTTCATGGGCTTACACCTTATATTGTTTCTTTTGCCCCAAGGTTGGGGTAATAGGGAGGTTGGTCAACACATACTTGCACACTCCTATATTTTATAGGGACGACAGGGCCTTGTATGATTAACGATTCTGCTATTATCGGGACCCAATAAATGAATATGATCATTTGTGGTTCAGGAACCTTGTTGTTATGGTTAAGCTTTCTTTCCTCTGAGGTTTGATATCTGATTCTGCCTCCTGTTGCATCTTCTCTTTTTGCCTGCTATATATCTTTCCATATTTTCTAGCAGAACAAAGAACTGACCTCTCTCCTCATGAAGGAAAAAGAGAGATTTTAGACTCATTTTAGAAATGAAGATGAGAGAGCAGCTAGGTACCAGAGAGGTGCCTAACAAAGCTGGAAAGTTTTTTCTTTTAATGCAAATATTGAATGAACATAATTGTAAAGGATAAATGTTACACAACAAGGTCTATGTTCAACCGGGCCATCATTGTTATCAAGAAGCTAGCCTCGTACCTATAAAAGCAATTGATGTAAGAGTCATATGACTATTCCTCCCAAAAGTAAAAGTTGTAATTGATAAGAACAGTCCCATCAAATCTTTTAAACACCATTATAAATCACGCTCGGGAACCCACTCAAGCACTACTCATTCAGTCTTTTGTTTGAGTGGTCTTTTTATAAGATGTTTATTTTAAGAATTTATTATTAATTTTGAATCATAATTTTTAATTTTTTACAGTATTTTTTTAAAATACCATTATAAATCACGTTCGGGAATCCACCCAAATATTACTCATTAGTCTCTTTGTTTGAGTAGTCTCTTCTAAGATGTTTATTTTAAGGGTTTATTCTTAATTCTGAATCATAATTCTTAATTTTTTACAATATTTTTTTTTATAAAAAATTTAAATTTTAAAAATTAAAATCATGAATAATGATTTTAAATTTATAAAGTAATCGTCCCATTATAAATTCATAGATGCATCTAACAGATGGACTCAAACACTTCTTCAAATTTCAAGCCACGTAGACAGCCCCCAAGTTCAAACATGCCCCTACATAAACGACTCATATTAGTCGTTCTCCATTTAAAATCCTAATAAATTTTGCTCTTTGGTCTAGGTCAAGTGGGATATCTCATATAAAACACAAATAATAATTTTTTTAAGGGTACAAATAATTTCATTAACTGAAAAAGTTTGGCCATCACAGCCACCACTAGCCCTTGCAATGTCTACGCCATCGGAATAAGATCTCTCTCTCTCTCTCTCTCTCTCTCTCACGCGCACACACACACAGCCACACACATATTACTTGAGAGTTTACGTAACACACACACATATACATATACATATACATATACATATATATATATATATAAATATATTTGTATAAACACATATTTGAAGGGTTTGTATGATCATCTTGTTTTGGTAGAGGCTCTAGCCGATTGTTTAATAAGTACATTTAATTAGTGGTTTTGGTTTATTTCTCCTATTTTTTGATAAGTAAAGTTTATTATATACCTTGACTAGCTGTGTCTCTCTTTCTTATGTCAATGAACTATTCAACTGAAAATTAGGGTAAAAAAAAAAAGAAAAAATTATGACATAGAACTGATTTTGGTCAATTTTAGAAAATTCAGAACCGTCCTCTCTGTGGTTAAATTTCTGTCCATCAATTTTGGATACTGTCTTTGTTACAATAGTTCCATGTTACAAAAGTTTCACGTTGTCAATTATAATTGACTTGGTGATCATATAAAGATGTACATGGAACTTCTTTCATAGATCTTCCTACTAGTTAATCTAGGTTTGAGATTTTATTATTTGATGGACCTTTTTAGCCTCTCTGTCATGATTTTTATATTAAATAATAATGATAACTAACCTTTTTTCTTTTCATTTTTGGCCTTCCAATGATTGATGCAGATATTATCAGTCTCTACCACCGGTGAGCAAGCTCTATGGAGTAACCTGTCTGATGACCACGGCAGCCCTCTATCTTCATCTGTATGATCCTTAGAACATTGCACTATATTATGGCCTTGTGATAAAAAAAGTTTCAGGTAAACGACAATCTGATCTCTGGAACTTTATAGAGTTCGAATGGTTGTAGCTCATATTTCTTGTCAATAAACATTTGGGAGCTGAAAAGAAAGAGTAAACAAATCTGTTACTATTGCAGGTTTGGCGTCTTATTACCAATTTCTTCTTTCTTGGGCCATTTTCATTTCCATTTGCTTTTCGTCTTATAATAATGTGAGTATGAGAAGGCCCTACTTCTATTATTTACTAGTAATACATTAAATTTCCATTATGAAAAAAAAAGGGACCCTTTGTTTCAAATTTGATAGAAAGGATCTCAGAGATAAAATGATTTCGGATAAAGATAGTTCAGTAATTCTTTTTTTTTTTTTCCTTATATTTTGTTTCTTGAATTGCATAGAGCAAAATATGGTGTCTCACTAGAGAGAGCGCCCTTTGACAAGAGAACCGCAGACTATGTATGGATGCTGACGTTTGGAGCTCTGTCACTTTTGGTATGAAAAACAGTCCCATAACAAATATAATATATATACGCTTTTCTTAAGTCACTCCGTAACATGATAATCAGTAAATGTAATATTGACTTTAGAGAGAAATAACACTAAGGAATTTAGTCATTTAAAAAATATGTTACACTTCTTCGTCAAGTTACGTTCATTAATTGTCCTGTTACGTTTTATCTCCACATGTTAAAGCAGAGAGACCTTCCCGGAAGGACCGTAGAAAGTCGTTATATATGTGTGTGTGTTATATTTTTCCTTTTTCCTTGTTTAAAAGTTGGATCATTGTAATGGTGTGCCAAGAAATTGTCAAGGAAAATCAAAGAGATATATGCGATGGTAAGAAACTTGCTTTAGAAAAGCGTTCTTTGGATATTGAGGATTAAGACGTTCCATCATAGATATGTAACATTTGGCCAGAAAAAAAAATTATCAATAATGACAGCACTTGCTATTCTTAGGTGATGGCTGTTGTTCCATCTTTTTGGTCTCCATTCCTGGGAAGTTCATTGGTTTTCATGATCGTCTACGTGTGGGGCCGCGAATTCCCAAATGCACGTATCAGCATATATGGCCTTGTATCATTTAAGGTATTGAATATCTGTAAATTTAATGGCACTGCTAGTTTTGTTCTGATTATGCTAGTTGGTACTTGGTATAGCAAGAAACGTAAATCTCCCATAAGAGCATTTTCAATACATTAGCAAAATCAGTGTGTCAATGTCAAAATTTGACATTTATATAGAAAAATTACTCGCCAATGCAATACTAATTTCTGTACTAAATTGAGCGTATATCAAATTTAACACCAAGTTGTCTAGTCAAAGTTTTACACCAAGAAAACTGTTTTTTGTTTTTATTTTTTTATTTTTTTTGTGGCCGCAGGGGTTTTATCTTCCATGGGCGATGCTGGCTCTTGATTTGTTATTTGGGAACCCCTTAATGCCAGACATTCAAGGAATAATTGCAGGGCACTTGTATTACTTTCTAACCGTGCTTTATCCTCTCTCTAGCGGGAAGAACATTCTCAAGACTCCTCGTTGGATGTATCCTTTTTTGTTTATTACAATATATATTTTTAAGGTACATAACATTAATGCCATTATATTGAACTCCCAACTTTCCTTTAATCTCAATTATTGTTATGATCTTTATATGATAGAACAAAAGAAGGTAAACCCCAATGCTAGACTATAATGGGTAAGTCTAGACTACATATGTTGCAGTTTAATATGTAGCTTAGACAAATCTGTTAAGTGAAAACCTTAACAACTTTATAGTCACAAATTAGTGGCATATTGGGGCGAGGGAGCACAAATAAATTCTCCAGTGCAGCGTGATCCTTCTGTTGGAGTCGCGTTCCGTGGAAGGAGCTACCGACTCAATGGGACTCAAAACCGAACGTGCCCTTCGGAGCAAGAGCAAACGAGCAATGCATCGCAGCAACCTAATGATCAGACCAATGGAGTTGCCTTTCGCGGAAGGAGCTACCGTCTCAATGGAAATTAGGGTGATGTTTGGTAGAGGGATTCGTTTCCTGATTCGAATCATGATTCGTGGTTCGCTACAGTATTTTCTCTCACAAAAAATACACGTAAATCGAAAATAATTCTAATCACATAATTCTAATTCATGAACCAAACGGACTATAAGTTATGTTACTAATGATCAGACCAATGGAGTTGCCTTTCGCGGAAGGAGCTACCGTCTCAATGGAAATTATGGTGATGTTTGGTAGAGGGATTCGTTCCCTGATTCGAATCATGATTCATGGTTCGCTACAGTATTTTCTCTCACAAAAAATACATGTAAATCAAAAATAATTCTAATCACATAGTTCTAATCCATGAACCAAACGGACTTAGGTTATGTTAGTTTGCTCGAGTTTCTTAACTTTGGTATCTCATTCTATGTTGTTATAGAATAGTGATCACCTCTTATGGCATTATTAGTAGGATGGTTTATATATGTCTCACGCTATTCCTATCTCAGTTCTATTTGAATGGGAATTAATTGTCGAGGCATCTATAACCGTTTAAAATTAGAATGTTAGCAATTGAAATATGATATGTGGGATTTCATTAAGGCATAAACATGTGTCATTAAGGCATTAGAATGTTAGCAATGTTCTTGACTTTTCTAGTGTACAGATGGTATAGGACTTGGAAATTAGGAAGAAAATACTGAAGAATAGACAATCAGAGATCCATCTCTTTCATGTCAGACTAAAATATATGCCAAATCAAATGCAAGGATATGTACAAAAGAAACTTCACGAGTTATTGACTTTGATTTATTTCACTGGTCCTAGAGAATGCGCAAATGCAGCAGTTGTAATATTTGTTGGGAAAAATAAATCTAAATAATGAGCAAAATTCTCTCTTCAGTTATACGTCAGTTATGTCAAATTCTCTTTTAAACTATAGTGACCAATCTAAAAAGTTACATATGGAATTATGAACCATAAAAACTTCCAAATATTCTTTTTCAAAATAAAAAATTGAGAATTCTATAGAAGGGTATGAAAGCACACTTTTGAATCATCAGAATTTCATTAAATTCGAATAAATTGTCATATTCTCCATAGGATCACATAGTTCAAACTGCATCTCATATA